GCCATGGCACTTACCAACTTGCACCTAATACTTTCCAGTATTATGGTAAACAGGATGCTTCCATCCAGGGAGAGCGTGCATTCCATTCCAATAGATATCTCAGGAATTTCCATGTGTTGGTGGGATGCATGAAATTCTTAGGTTGGTTTGGATACTCTTAAGCATGGTGATAGGTTTTCCGCATAAGTTAAACACTCGACTGACCCCCACATTCCAAAAACAGATTTAACTCTGAATTGGGGGCATGAAAATGATGTGGAGTCCTGTAGCTCAGTGGTAAGAGCACTCGCTTTGTAAGCGAGACACCTGGGTTCAATTCCAGGCAGGGCGAAACCTTGGGCAAGTTTCCTTACTCCACACACCTAATAATAATAATAATCCCTCCAAAATCAAAAACAATGATAAATTGGTCATTTTCAATCCACGACTGTTTGTGGGACATTGCTGTGCGCAATTGGCTGCCGCGTTCGCCCACAAGTATACAGTCAATTCACTTTACAGTGTGTTCTGTGAAGCGCTTTGGGACGTTCTCCCGACATGAAAAGCGCTATATCAAATGCAAGGATTATTATTATATTATTTATTATGTAGGGATTGAACCCACAGCCACTGACTCAAAGGTGAGAGTGATACCAACTCAACCAAGTGACCATCTGATTCTCTTACTGGTCAGTCCATCCATGGGATATGTATAGATTTCTGGCCCTTATTGTGTAACCTGCGCATAATAATATACTTTTGGAGGGAGATAGTCCTGTGATTGTTAAATAGTCCAGGCGTGGAGACGCCATTTCAAAATCTCCCGCCTGAACCAGTGACCAAAACTCCCTGTGTAATGTCATTTCCACAAAACAGTTTTTGTATTAATGGAATCAGGTCTAGTACAGTCTTTAATATTATCTCCTTCCCTTCCTTTCTCTTCTCCCTGTAAAATTCTCTGTGTTATTTTCCTGGTTGGATAACCTGGTAAATAACACAATGAGTGCCCTGCCCTGTCTCTCCTCTTTGCTCTGTCTCCTCTAGCACCCACTGTCTCCATGCCTACGGGTTTATTATGCTTCGCTATTGGCTTTGCCTCCAGTCTCAGTGTGCGCATTTTATCTGCCGCCCCCGACCCAAGCTGCTCTCTCCCAAAATGCCCCCATCCCTGTCCTCTCCCGCTCTGTCCTTCTCTTCTTCCATCCTCCTCACCTCGTATCCCATTTGATCAACTGTCCCCTCTGTATCACCCTAGAAAATATCAGTTCTCTTCAACCAAGCTCTTGTTGATGGAAAGATTGACACCCTCGCCCTCACAGAACCTGGATCACCCCAGGCAACACCTTCCCCCTGACTGAGAACACACCACCTGGCTGGCTTCCACTATACCCCCTCAACCTAACTGATGGCGGTGTGGCTCATCTCCAGGTCCTCACTTACCTTATCCCCCTACTCCTCTGGTTCCTTCCCCTCCTTCAAGCACCTTACCCTCTACCATCCCTCCTATCTTTCCCTGAAATTTTCATTGTTTTTCATTCCACCCAAATCCTCCCTGCCTCTGACATCTCTATCCTTCTAGCTTCCCTTTGCTTCTTTTCTGAATGCCTTCTCATCCTAGGCAACTTCAACCTGCACTTCACCCCTCTTGCTCTATCTTGCTGACCTCCTCCCTTTTACCTCCTCTCTTCTCACAACCTTGCCCTCCACATCCACTCTGCTACCCACGTCCATGGCCACACGCTTGATCTGGTGATTACGCTGGGCCTCAGCATCTCGGACACCACCATCACCGACTCAGACATTACCATCACCAACAAAGCCACCTCGGACCATTACTTCATCTCTCTTAACTACTCAATCCCTTTCCCACCACCACCCAACCCACCTCCATCTCCTACTACTCCTGGAAAAAAATCTTCCTATCCCCCCTCTTCACTGCCTTGGAGTCATCTGAACTCCTCTCCCTCTGGGCTTCCTCCCGCAATGACTATACCAGCCACCTCAGCTCCCTCAAGGCACAGGTGTATGGCGCTGAACCCACCTGACTGAAACTTAACAGTCCACTCCCTCTGCTCGGCAGGCTCTGGCCTGCTCCACGTCCCATGCCCAGCCCTTCCATCTATCGGCAGTTGGGCCTTCAGCCTCTCTGCCCCCACCCTTTGGAACTCCATCCTGCCGTCCCTTCTCCTTACTCCCTTGCCTCCTTCAAGGCACGTCTCAAGATCCTCCTCTTTGACCGCGCCTTTGGACACCCTCCGACCCCTACCCTCCCTGCCCTCCACCCCCCGATTCCAACCCACTGCTCGGGTCTAAATCCCTGACTGTGCAGCGCCTTGGGGCGTCCTCCTGGCATGAAAAGTGCCAAAAAAATGTAGTTGTTGTTATTCCTGTTAGGATGTTTTTCAAGTTAGCACCCAGTAAGTGAAGGAGCTAGGTAAGAGAAAGCTACCCTGACATAACAGAGTATCAATGAACACTTCACACACAAAATAATTTCCATTAGGAATAATCAAAAAATAAATTCAACATTCGGTTTCTGGATCCAATTGAGTATTACTAATGGAATGATCTATGAGCTTGGTAATTTTTCTTTCCACCAGTAACTTACACCTACGCTATTCATAAATTATTCCTCTATTTCTACTGATCGAGCTTTATGACTGTGCTGCAACTGCAAACTCTTTGCTATACATCTTGAATTCAGTCATTCTCATCAGTTTTATTGCTTGAAGGGAGAACAAATCTGGTAAAGCTAGCAGGTGAACAAAAGATTCAGATTAACAGTCTATGCAAAAAAGGACCCAGGAACATTCTGCACCTGACAGCTGCCTTAATGTCAAAGATCTGCACCAAGACATTCAGCTAGCTTATCTACTAGCCCAGGTAGTTTAACTTGTGTACAGCTTGCAATGCAATGGTGGCAACATTTGCCCAGTGCTGATTACATAGAGTGTAATATGCATGGAAACAGGCTATTTTTCCCAACTCGTCCGTGCCAGTATCAATACTCCACAAAAACCTCTACCCCTGATATTCCCTCTTCTACACCTGTCTGCTCCCTTCTCCCTCATGTGTGCACCATGACTGCTCTTAAATATATTGATGCATTTTGCTTAGATTTGCTCATTTAGAAAGAGCTGAATGAGTATCTGCTTGAGAACACTACTGGGGGCTGGGAGGGAATTCAAGACAAATGGGGGGGAAATGCAAGCACACAGGCACCAGTCAATGTGTTAATTTTCATCAGGTCACTTTGTTTCATAATGTTATGTTAATTAGCACCATCATAATTTTCAATTTTTTGTATTTTAAGTCTGATTTATGCAGTCAAATAATAATAATCCTTACATTTGATATACAGCATATAAAAAAAACATATACAGGTGTTCAAGACATCTCAAAGCGCTTCACAGAATATACTGTAAAGTGAATTGACTGTATATTTTATGGGCGATTTCTGCAGTAAAGGCCAGGCAGAAATGTAGAAGATGATTCAACAAATCTTCATTTCAAGACAGGGAAGGGGAAGGTGCATTTGGGCCTTGAGAGAAGCAAAAATCAAATGTTAATAATCCTTACATTTTGTATAGCGCCTTTCACATCGGGAGGACTTCCCAAAGCATTTTACTGTAAAGTGATGTGACTGCGTGTGTTTTGTGGGCGAACACAGCAGCCAAGTTGCCCACAGCATTGTCCCACAACAGACTTGAAGTGAATGACCAATTTTTGGGGGGGATTGTTGGTCAAAATAGGAGATATGCAGATGACCAATGATCACAGCAATGACTTTTGCATAAATGAAGAAGAAAGATTAAGGGAGAGGGGATTAAAAGGGTTGGAGACTCATGTGGAGTGTAAACAAATGCATGGACTAGTTGGGCAAAATGTCTGTTTCCGTGCTGTCATGTTCTGTGGAATTCTATGTAATTCAATATTCTTGATACCACATGCAAAGTAATCACTATCTTTCCCAAACCCTGAATCATATTACACCATTCAACAAAGCTAATTACTAAAACACCAAGCAAAGCTGACATCAAGTTGTCAGAACCCTTGTTATAACATAGCAGTGTGTCTTGTTCATTGAATCAACAGCAGCAATACCACTCATAAAACCATTCAGGTAAAGTTACAACATCCAGCTTCAAATGCTTAATAATAGTGCAGGAGCTTTCACCGCAAAGCACGATTGATTTTCTAATCATATTTTCTGATTGTTCTGTGAACAACTGATTCACAGCTACACTTTTTGGCATTGTGTAAAGCTGCAGTTGATAACAGTACTGATATGACAGGATTTATTTTTGGTCAGCCAAGTATGTCTGACACATATGAAAACCCATCACTATTCAAAAAGAGAAAGGAGTTTCTTCAGGTGTCTTGGCCAACAATCCCTCAGATAAAATTGATCATTCACTTACCCTGGCTGCTTCATGGATATTGTGGATTCCTGTAACATATTGATCGGAGCACTCGCCTTGCAAGTAAGAGGCCCCTGACGAATAAAATTATTAGGATGGCTGAATATTCAGGAAGTTTTATTTGATTGATTTTAGAGATTAGGAGATATCTTGGAGATCAGAATGTTTCCAGAGTAGACAAAGGGGGCAAAGTAAAACTGCCATGAAGTTGCAGGCAGGGCATGCTCTGTGGAAGGAGTGGTTTTTGATGGGTTGAACTGTCAGGTCTTGTTCCATGTTTTCCTATGCCAAGTAATAAAAATAATAATCATTGCATTTAATATAGCGCCTTATCATGTCATTGAGACGTCTCAAAACGCTTCACAGAATATATTGTAAAATGAATTCACTGTATACTTTGTGGGTGAAACACAGCAGCCAATTGCTCACAGTAGTGGCCCACAAACAGTCGTGGAGTGGGTGACCCAAATTTTTATATAAGGTATGACTGAAGCAAACTAATTTATTCTGTTCCTCTTGTTGCCAGAATGGATTCAAGTGCTGGACTGGTTCAGCATATAATAAAAATGGTCTCCTGATTTCTCTTTCCTCTGTATGTAGGGGCAAGCTCTCGAACAGGCTATCATAAGCCAGAAGCCACAGCTGGAGAAATTGATTGCAACAACAGCCCACGAGCGAATGCCCTGGTTCCACGGGAAGAAATCTCGTGAAGATAGTGAAGCCTGCATGCTCAGAGGCCCCAGGACTAATGGAAAATTTCTGTGAGTGAAATGTTCATTTTTCCCAAAGAACGTATGGAGGAGTATTACACCATTGTCAACCTAATCTCCTGGGTCTCTGTCCTAACTTGCAAACAAATTTCAATCCGTTCAAAATACGTTTCAATTTGACAGTTAATAAGAGATTGAACGATCCAGCAATAAACTTCAATTTCTGCCAAGCCAGGGTTATATTAAAGTGGTGGTAATGTGCTGAGTGTCCCAACAGACCAGTTCAAAAATGCAGCAAGTCTGATCATTTTCCCAGGATCCATTGAACACAAAGGGCAGAGTGCTACAAAAGTTATTAGAATTTTGTCTGTATAAATTAGCTTTTTTTTAAATATACCTTTGGTTTGTCACTTGATATAATAGTGGGTGTGGCGATGGTAAGTAATTATTATCGTGTGAGATGTCTTAAACCAAAACCCAACAATTCTTTAACAACCAACAGCACAACTAAATGTAGACAGCACCAATGGTAGCAACACGGGTTCACAACCTTATCCTCAGCTCGACTCCACTTAGCATCAAAATGCACCATTTTTATATGGCTCTGAGATTGCTTTCCTGACCCCCTTCTCCTCACTCTCTGACAAGATCCCCTGCAGGACGGGTGCTTCTTCGGACCACTGGCTGACTCTGTGGCTAGAAGTTGTTGATGCTCCTTGCTGTCTCTACTTCAAACCCTCCGCCTTGCCCCCTCCCTTCCCACCTTCAAAGACAGGAGGGAGGGCGTAAGCCAGCGGGTAAAGAAATATTTATTTGTGTCCGCCCAGAAATTGTTCTTTGTAACCCTGAACCTGTACCTTGTCATTCTGCTGCTTTGGTGTATCTGAAAGTCCACCAGTTCTGCATTGATGGGGCGTCAAAATTGCAATGTGATACTCTCATTGGTAATAATATCACATCAATTTCGACATTCAGTGTCCAATGTAAAACATTTTACTGCTGGACATAAAATGAAGGAAGCAGCTGCTGGTTAGTCAACACAAGGGCTTGAAGTCTTAGCACTGGAGGTAAAATGACAATTGGCTCAACCAGCTCTTTCAAAAAAAGGAACTTTAGTGGTTCTAAAATTTCTGACAAAGCCTATCTTGGAGGCTAGTGGTTTCACAGCGTAACAAAATCAACACCTGAACTTCGTGCATTGACCTGTCGTTTAGTGGCAGACAACTGGTGGCATGATGCAATGGTCATAGTGCACCATTTTTAAACTGCAATTACATTGCTGAACCACTTCAACTGAAGGCAGCTTTGTGGCATTGCAAACTGTTGGTGATGATTGAGTAACAGTTAAATTGGTTAAATCTGGTAAAAACAGAGGTTGATATTGTTCTGTCCCCCGCCTGCCTCCTCACACTATTTATAGTGACTTGAGCAAGAGGTAAAAGGTCCATGCTACCCATAAAGTTCCTTATTCCTCAAATTCTGTGGGGATTTCAGGCCACAAATTTTTCCCTGCTCATATAGCTCAAATTATTAAACCTTATTTCTCTTGAAATTGAAGATCACAAGGTTTTCTTAGAATTTTTTTAATTCAGCTTATTTCCACAGCTCTTAAGTGGTTTTTTTTGGTCAGCTGTTGTGTCTGACACGTACATTAACCCATCACAATGCTTTAGAAATAGAGTATCCAAACAAAACTGCTGTCATCAGCAGGGCCCTGGAATACTGTGGACTCGTCTAGCTCAGGAACTGAAATATCGAGACCACCAAAGAGGGTGGGCTCAATTTCGACATTTCATTACCAAACATGTCACCTTGAAGCCAGTTCAGATCCAAGGAGATATCGCTTAACTCCCCACCAAGGAGGATAAACAGTTCGTAAACAGAATCGGCTTCCAAATTAATTCTGAAATTAAGAATTTTGAACACGTCTGTGAGATCTTAAATTTCAAGACAAAATAGTCCTATAAACTAAGACTAGCCAGTAGCTTTATTCCTTTTCCCCTCTACTGAGGTATTGCTGCATGGGTTCAATTGGTGGTATTCTTGCCTCTCGTCCAGATATTTGTGGTTTCAAGCGCCACGTCAAAGACTTGAGCTCACAAACCAGACTGACAACGCAATGGAGGAGGAGGGAAGAGGCGAGATTTGTGGATCTTGCTTACGCATAAAACAGCTGTCACATTTGCCTACAAAAATAGTCAGTGCATTTGACAATATTTATTTGAAGAGCTTGGAAACTTTTCAATGTAAAAGGCATTATAAAATTCAGAAGTTCTTTTATCTTTTTTGGATTTGCGTTGAAGTGGTAAATTGGACTGATAACTAGACTCATGGATAATTGGAGTGTGAATGAATTTGATCCGATTCGTGATACTAAGTCATTGTTGTCATATTCCTGCACCCTCTCTAACTTAATAATTTGGTCTACATTGGTGGCACAGCTTTTGCAAGCAATGGACAGTTTGTTTTTGACATTTAATGTTAATGGTTGACCATGCATTTACTTGTCCACCTGCTGACTTTCAGTCATGTCTAGGTTTCCCTTCCACACCGTCCCTGTTTGCTAAGTGTCAGCCCTGATTGATCCAAATCCCCCTCCTCCAGAAATTTCACCCGAAACCACAAAAATGGTTTTGACAGGACTTACAGAATTTTGCCAAACAACAATGAAGGGCCACTGGAAAGACTTTAACCCAATTATCTCTCTCAGGTAATCAATGGCCTGCTGTGAAGTTCTAGCATTTATGTTATTATTTCAGTTTTCAAGTATTGTTTTTTAAATTATGTGCCCGGTTATATTGGGAGTTAAAAGGGTCATCTCATCAGAAATTGAACTGCAATAGCATTAATGGATTGTTTCTAGGGGACCCCCAAAAAATATGTTTCAACAGTAAAGAGTCTCAAAAGGGAACAAGTCTCATTTCTGGAAAGGAAAATTATTCATTGATATTACATGAAGGGATAGATGTTAAATCTTAGGAAGTTGAATGTGTAGCTAGATGGATATTGATCTACATTTGTCTGATGTTGCCATTACCTTATGGAGATGACTGAAAAAATGGGTGACAGGTACCACACCATTGACCAAATTATCATTGCAATGTTTCTTCTTTCTAGAATAAGAGATCGTGATAGCAATGGTTCGTACGCCCTTTGCTTGCTCCATGAGGGTAAACCATACCATTACCGGATTGACAGGGACAAAACAGGCAAGCTTTCCATTCAGGATGGGAAAAAGTTTGACACCCTTTGGCAGGTAGAATAATTCATTAACGGAAAATTACTGTATTTGGATGTTCAATTGCAATGTTGATATTTTATCAATATGTCCGCTAGGGAAAACCCTTCTGGTTGAACTGGCTAATGGCTGTCATTATTCTCATGCATTAATACATGTTTTAGTTCTAGTTTGAAGTACAACACTCTCGTTCACGTTCGATACAGGGGCAGTCCTGCTTTCCAGTATTTAATGATTCCAGAAACTATTTGAAATACCATAACTGTTCCAATCTATTCCACAGGTTCCTCCAGACTGTTTACTTGTACTGTATGGGGGAAATAGAAAAACATAATCCCACTTTCCACATTTTCCCCTCTATACCTTAAAGTATTATTACTGCTTGTTTGCTATTCCTGAGCATTTACTTATCACGACGTCCGATGCCGAGCAAGGGACGAGGGAAGTGAACATAGGTATTGTTGAAGAAGTAAGTTTTAAGACAGGATTTAAAGGGTGAAGTGAGGTGGAAAGGTAAAATAAGTGAGTTCCAGAATTTATGTGTCAAAGAAACTGAAAGTTTAACCTTCAGGATTATGGCATGGTGGACGCAAAGAAGGCCCAAGTTAATGAAGCCATCAACCCTAAAATTAAAGCAATGTAACACAATTATAACTCTTCTCAATCTCTGCTGCCACTGTGATTTTCTAGGCTCTGACAGTACTTTGGCATTTTCAGCAGAGTACCGTATCTGTTGACTGCCAAGATCTTGTTCACTCTGGGAAAGTCACAATATTGATTGGATAAATTGGGTTGTCCACAGTAACACCAGAAATCAATGAAGTGCTTGATCAGCTCATTGCACTCAAGTAATTGAATTATTGGCATTGGAATAATTTGTTAATTAACCCTTCATACCACATTTTAGTTGACCTTTAAGACCAGTAATATTATAACTGTGGTTTAGCATTTGCAAATCCCAATCAACTCAGTGCAAACTTAAGACTCTCCACATTCAATCATTTTAGGAGGTGAAATCATTTTCATAATATCTGTCATCTTTAAAACATGATTCTGGGTTAATGTGCCTGTCAGTGGCACAGACAGTTAGTTTGAGAGGGAGTGTGTGTGTGTGGGGGGGGTGGGAGAAAGGTCATTCCAAGCTGTCCTGCTGCCTCTTTCATTGGCCAGAAGAGTGGTAGAGTCAGTAGGGGTCAGGTGGGCTCATTAGCCCCAATCACTTTGAAATTGGCCAAAAGTCACCCCAAACTGCCTCACTTATAATGTTCTGACCTCCAGCAACCCTACCACCCCAACCAATCCCTCTGCTTATAGAGCCTGTTTCATGTCCCCTGTCCAAGCTGCCCTACTGTCAGTGGGTGAGCTTTCAAACATTCTGTCTGCACTCCATAAAACTCTGGCATTACTGCATCTCCCCCTCCACACCTTTGTAGCTCTTCTTAAAACCTTTCCTTTTGACTGCTCTTCCCCCCCTCCCCCACCCCAGGTTGGGCTCTTAGTTGGCTCTGTCAGGCACCTTGAGACATCTGCCCAAGTTGATTTATACTTGGAGGAGACCAGGGAGAAGATGCTATATTAACATAAAATTGTTGTTGCTGTGCTACCAGAGAGGGGGAGCTGATTGGAAGCCTGATATCTTGCCCTGTGGAAATAGGTAAAATTTTTATAATATTCAGGCCATTTTTCTACAGCTCCCAGTGACTAATTTCAGTGTCATTGATCTAAGGCATGTCACTTACTCTCTAGACCCAAGCTGATGTATGGTAATTATATGCTAATACAAACTTACAAAATAAAAACTTTTAAAAATAGAAAACAATGCACTGGCCAATATGACTCAGTCACATAGACCAAAAAGATTCCAGATCCAGTCGCTGTGTGCTGAATTAGCTGATTCTCAACTGGGTGTCAGTATATGGGTTACAATTAGCTTTGGCATCCCTGGGCGCGGGAGGGAATAATTAGCCAGGATTCCTTTGCCTGAATGGTATCTAGTTCTGCTGGTAGGATGCAACTGTTTGAATGTTGGATGAGAATTAGTCAGTCTGACCCATAAATAGCTTATTGACACTGTGTAGCCTTGCACATAAAAAATGGCCACTTGGGTACGCAACTGGCTGGTCCCATGAAACTATTCCCCAGCAAGATTTAGCTCCTTTAGGGGAGGAGGCAAAATAATTGCACCACAAATAATTCACCACCAAGTAGTAAGCAACAAATGATAAATCCCTTGGAGAAATAATTCAGTTTGGATAAATTGGAATCAGAAAATGTTTTATGCCTCTCTTGAGACATGGGAACTGTGTGCAGGCAACACAAAAAAGTTTTTGTTTTTTTCATGTATTGCACAGCCTTATTGGCATGCCTGTATATTGTTTTATGTTTCATTCAGTAAAATTCTGCAGCATATCTTTTGAAGTTTATTTTACAGGATTTCTTAATGGGATCCCTTAATAAGGAACCTGAGTTATATAAATCAGAATTTGTTCTTGTAACTGGATGTATGTCTCACTGACCTGCAGGAACTCTGCTCTGCTATAATATGCATCCGGAGTAAATTTCCCATGCATCAATGGGAATTCGAAAAGGATTCCTAAATAAAGATTCATGTGAAATACTGCAAATTAAACAACAAAAACAAATTACATTTATACAGCACCTTTCACGTCACCAAGGCGCTGCAAAGTCAGGAAACCTGTACACTTCAGAGCAAAAAAAGGATAGAAGACATTGGTTTCTTGACAACCGCTGTAAAAAGAAAAATCTCGTAGCCCTTGGAAACATTAACACTCAACTGAATTCAGTTCCTTGAATGTGCTGGCAACCTATCAATAGGCAGTGGTAGCTGAAATAGTAAATAAAGAAAAATACTCATTGGTCAAACAGATTAAAGTACCCTTGACAAATGAGAGGTTCCAACTTGTCATTTTGTTTCTAATACACAAATAATAATTTATATGTGAGTTTGGCTTGAGCCACAACATTAACAGTCAATGTAGCTAACCTAATAAAAGAAAGTGGCAGAATGTAATTCAGTGCCGTGCTGGTAAGATTGAAGAGACATGACTGATGGACTGCTGTCCAGCAGCTGAATTTTAGTTGTTTGTGTTGCAGACGGTTCTGCTTCATTCCCATTTGACAGACAGCTCCAATTCTGTCTCCCCATAATGCCATGCCTGTTGGTCACACTTGACTGGCATTGCAAACTTCTCCAATTGGATTTAATAAGGGATCTTATTTTAGGAAGGCCATCTTCCTCTACTCATTTAATTGTATTAAAAAAAATGATGGCTGCACAAGTATGACTCTTAATGAAAGTTCCCTATTTTCATAAAGATCTGGTGTCAACCACATTGATCTTAAAAATGTGAACATGTCATTGATATATCCAATTTATACATATCATTTAGTTTATTGATTCAGTTTAGGTTGTAATTGTGGTTGAACTGGCAGGAGGTGTGCAGCAGATTGAAGGCTTTAATGAACCAATTTATTGGGAGGAGGTGGACTCTGCACTATGGCACTTGCTAATGATAAGGCAGCAGGTGTGGACAGTGTTAATGCTGAGTTCATTTAAGATAATAATAATAATCCTTGCGTTTGATATAGCGCCTTATCATATCTTTGAGAAGTCTCAAAAAACTTCACAATTTTTTTTGTTGGAAGGATTATTACCCCCCAAAAAAGCGATCCATCAATCAACTTACCAGCAGGTTCCTACTTACTGCTAGGTAAACGAAGGCATGTGGAGTAAGGAAAGTTGCCTAAGGTTTTGCTCTGTCCCACCTGGGAATCGAATCTGGGTCCTCTCGCTTGCGAGGCGAGTGCTCTAACCAATATGCTACAAGACTCTATATCCCGCCCCCTCCCCACACATCAAACCCACCCAAACCCAACAACAAAGTTATCAACATACACAACGCACAATAATACTGGGGAGAGGAGAATGGGGGAGGCAGGTGCATGCTGGAACATCCGAGACGAGGGTGGACGGATGGTCGAGATTGGCTGACATTGTGACATACCTCTGGCTCTGGTCTGCTCCACATCCCCCGCCCTAACCATCCTACCATCGGTGGCCGGGCTTTCAGCCTCTCAGCCCCTAGGCTCTGGAACTCCATCCCCCACTGTCTTTGCCTTGCTTCCTCCCTTTCCTCCTTGAAGGCCGGTCTCAAGACCTTTCTCTTCAACCGTGCCTTCACCTCCCCTCTTGACTCTCTACCCCATCCTCGCTCTCTCCCTTTCCTCCCCTCACCCTGACCTTTTCCCCCCTGCTCGGGTCCCGACCCAACTGTCCAGCGCCTTGGGACCTCCTCCCGACGTGAAAGGCGCTCTATAAATCCAATCTTGTTGTTGTTGTACCTGTGACATTTGCTGAGGAGGTATCATATGGAGCAGGTATTCTCTCTAGCGATCCGTGACAAAGCTATCTTCTGACCTTGCCTCCCCCTCCGCCGTCCGGAAAGACAAGTTCACACCAGGCATGACCAGGAGACCACTGCTGATGTGTAGTTGGAGGGCCAAAGCAAAGCTGGACAGCACACTGTGTGTAGTCCCTGGTGCAGAGCCGACTGTGACATGGACTGCCCGAGGGGGTGATGCCTGATCACAGGCTGCTCTGAGAGAGAACAGAGAATGGTGAAGATCTTACAGATCCAAGCTAGGAACCTCCAGTTTGCCTTGGAGCTGCCCTCCGAGCTCTGATCAACAAAATTCACTCTGAGGCATGCAACCTGTCAGTGTTCAGAGTCTAATTTGTGGTTTCTATCCACAAGGAGGGTGACCCGAGTGAAACAGATAACTGAGAGGGATCCCACTGATTTCAGTGGCTCTTAAAGTGGTGTGTCAGTTAGACACTGCATGTGTATGATGCACATTAGAGGCTTGTGGGTTAATCAGGAAGGAACAGGTTGGCTTTCATTCTCCTAAGAAATGTTTGGAACAGGTTGTGGCTTTGAAGGAAATTGGAAGCTATGGGAATACAAGGCAAATCTTGGATTTTATCCAGAATGTATATT